ACTCTGAAAGCTCCTCTAAACTCGGCAGCTTTGGATCAATTACCCGCACTATGACCTATACAGAGGATAGACTGACTGGTAACTATAATTGTTTTAATTCTTTGTATAAAACACTATAGTGGTGATTAGGGATAAATTTAGTCAAATTTTTATAGCTCTTATTCTCATATTTCTTCATCTGGTGCGGCGCCTCGCTAAATTGCCCCCCAAATTACATTTCCACCAGACCTTGGCATTTCTGATCCACCATCACTGGAATAGATTAAAGTGCTATAACTTTGTAAAAACACAATCTATACATTTTATGTAATGTTATGTATACGCCTGAGAAAATCATTTCCCACTAGCGGGAGACACATAGTTTTTTTTGTCTGCACCTGCTTAAGTGCCGCGTTAGGCCGATATCGGCCTGTTATGCAGTGAGGGTGTTAAAGTTGAAAATTTAAATTATCTAGACTCAGTAGATTGGGCTGTGCATTGATGTAATGTAATTCAACAGCCAACGGGCCTCTCATATGTAGATTTAGTTTTTGTTAAATTTTGTTCATCAAATTCATTTCAAGGTGCTGAAGGTGCGGGTGAGCCTGGCAATGTATCTGCACCCACAGCCAGCCCACCAGAGCAAGTACCAGATGGCAATGAGAGTGGAGAGCTCTTAGACTATAATGATTCTAGTGTGCTGGAACAGTTTCATGAAGATGCCTTGCGACAGGTAATTCCAACTAACCTAAAAAACATGTTAGTGTATGAGAACATACCATATACAAAAGCTGTGTCTTCTATAAAATAGTTAAACAATCTAGGGGAAACTTTTATTAAGGCATTTCTGTAACATTTCTGGCTTATGATGTTATAGTCTTGATAAACTAAATTCTTTAAGCAACCTAATTTTGCATATTTCAGTTTAAATAGATAACTGAACTATTGTTTTATCAATCTCTGTTGATAGATCTCTTACCAAACTTAAGGTGTGGCTACACACATCTGTGATTATTGAGGGTAGTTATTAAAAATATGTAAGTTGTTAACTTAAACTATATAATTTGCAGGCTGGCTGTGGTCTATCGCAAGCACGTGTGTTGCTTGCCGTGACACTGGCTATAGCGGGCTCGTCACTTGAGCTGGCTGCCATACCCTTTGTGCTGCCCTCCGCTGAAATTGAGCTCTGTATATTACCACATGAAAAGAATTGGCTTGGTATGCTAACAAATGTTTTATATACAATATTAATGTTTGTTTAATAATGAAATTATTTTAAATTAGTTATGAGTGTGGAAGGGTACATCGGTAGAGGGTAGATTTAGAAAGAGATGGATGGATTGCATGAAAGGTGATATGATCAAAAAGGGAGTGATGACTGAGATGACGTAGAGTTGTGTGGAGGACAAAAACCTGTTGCGCCGACCCTACGGGAGTATGATAAGGAGAAAGATGATGAATGCAATTATTTTAAACTGCTTTTTTTGCATTTTAATTCATAGTTTTCATGGTGTGTTTATTTATCTCTGTTACTAAATTACTCAAAACCCTTGTCACATATTTTAAGAAATACTAAAATATTAAGCAAAAGTACAATAC